TAGTGGTTCCTGAGATGCTAGCAATACACCCATATCATTCTGCAAACATTAATATCCAAACCTGAGCAGGTCTGCTACCAACTTTGCAATGCCCCCAGCAGGGATAATGCTGCCTTTGTATTACTCGTTCTTACGCATAAAGGACACTGCATCGTTGAGGGCTCTTGTTCATTTAGTTACATTTAAACTTGCAGAAATGCTGCTTCTCATGGTCCAGTTTTTCCTCTAACACAATCAGTATCTTGTGCTCTGTGTTACACTTAAACACAGTTTTCATATTAGATGTTAGGTTGATGAGGAATAATATCAAACCTTCCCTTTCCGCACACTGGGGAAAAAAATTTGCCTTTTTATTTCTGAAGAGTTCCCACTACTTAAACTACCCACATAATACTTTGAATCATGTCTTGAAATTTAGTCTCACAGTCTCCATTCTAATGCAAAACTATCTTGTCAGAATTCAGACTTTTAGATGACGCTTCCACAGAACCAGCCCCCGGCAGTGGTGACATGCAAAAATCTATTAAAACTGTAACTACAGTTAACGGGTTTATGAAAACAAAAGAACGTGTGAGCGCTCCAGCTGTAGGATCCTTCAGGAGGGGTTGCAATAAACACTCAACTCCAGTACATGTTCAAGTATGATATTAGGTCGTTGGAAGGCAGGTGCAGACAGGCGGCTCAGCGCGGTCAGCAGCCCTAGCTGCAAAACATAACTTAATTCCACCACAAAGCGCTTCACGACTTGAAACACCGCCCGGGAGGAGAGCGGAGCCGCTCCTGGAGAGGCGCACACCGGGGCTCGGCGGCCCCAGCTGCCCTCCCCGGGGCTGAAGGGGCTAGGGGGGCACCACCAGCCCTAGGGGTCACTCACCCGGGGCCCCGGGGCCCTCGCTGCCGGCCCGCCGGCCTCCCGCCGGCCCCAGGCTGTTGACGATGTAGTGCGAGACGCGGGAGCTCTCGGACACCGAGAGCACGAAGTCGCCGGGGATAGTGCCGGAG